GCACTCACAGCCCCCGGGTACTGTGCGAGCCTCAGGCAGATTTTCCCATGGTCCTGTCCCTCCACCTCTGGTCCCTCTTTCCCGGATCTGGATCAGCGAGGCCAGATGAAGGACGGAAGGCTCTGTCATAGCAGGGCAGCGCTACGTAAGGGCCAGCCTGGCCCCTGGACCAAGGGGAGAGAACTTGGGGGAACAAGAATCTAGGGGTGTGAGGCCGTTGTGAGGTCTTCTAAGGCGGCCACAATTTACTGTAATGGCGTTCCTGCCTGAATTCCCTGATGGGGCTCAGAGAAAGTTGCCAGTGATCTGGATTTGGCTCAAGGTCAGTCTGGGATGTGGGGTCTTGTCTGTCCTCCTTCATAAAGTTTGTCTTGGATGGGACTTCATCCCATGAGCAAACCCTGGGGCTGTGGAGTTCTGAACCAGAGGACTGCTGGATCCCAGCGGGGCCCGCCCAGCCAGGCGGCTCCAGGATTCTTCTGTGTCCACCGAGAGCAGGAGGAGGGAGCTCACAATTCACAAAAATATCCAGTGGACCCTGATCCGGGAGGGTGGGAGTCAGGAGCCAGAGGAAAGCCGTAGCCCAGGGTAGAAATCCGGGCTCTGTCCGAGTCTGTGCATGGAGAAAAGAGGGGGTGCCTCTCATGTTGGTGGTTACCTCTGGGAGGGGGCTCTGCGTCTTTGTTTCCTCTTCACTCTTTGCTGTGGGTTCTCATTTTTTGGTGATAAGCTTATAATGCTCTTATAATTAGAAGAAAAACAATAACATTTAAAAAATCATTTAGAAAGTTAGTGGGAACTAATGGGAGATTCAGAAGAGAGTCGGAAATAGGAAAATTCCAGGCAAGGCAGAACTGCAGAGGCTAGTAGATCTGTTGAGGTGGCCTGGTCTGTGAACGGATCTCATAGTTAAGGACGCTGAGTCGCAGGGAGTGGAAATGACTTGCCCAGAGTCGCTGGGGTAGCAGGATCTAGAATGCTGGGTTCTCACTCCTGGCCCAGGGTCCTGCCCTGCCAAGCCCAAGGCACAGTGGGGAGATCTGGATTCTGCCCTCGGAGCTGAATACCGCTCGTTCCAGGAGCTGATCTAGCGGGGACTAAGCCAGGCACAGGGCTGTGTAAAGGACTTATGTAAGTGATTGTTCTGTATGGCTCACCTGGCCAGGCAGGCATGGGGTGGGAGGTGACAAGTCCTTGTGTGGGACTGGACCCTGCTGCCTCAAGGACTGCTCCTAAGGGGAAGGGCATCTGTGCATGTGTGGTCTTACGTGAGGGTCTTACGTGCGTTTGTCTATGTATTGTGGGCATTGTGGAGGACGATCAGCCAGCCTACCGCTCTCAACCATGGAAAGAAAGCCCCAGAGCCTGCCTTCTATTTCGCGTGGGGAGCTTGGGCACAGGGCAGGGCTGTCCCTATCCTGGAGACCACCGATCAGGCCCATGGTCATGGAGTCCCAGGTGAGGGTGGGGCCTATCAGGGGAGCCTGGGGAGGAAGCACCAGCGCACTATGGTTTAATTCATCACCGAGGTGTGAGCAGGGGAGGAAGGGAGAGCAGTGAGGGGCTGAGAGTGAAAGATGGGTGATGGGCAGGAGAAGCCTGGAGCCTGGCCAGTCAGCAGGGCTGAGCTGGGTCAGGCAGACGGGCCGCCGGTCTGGGTGAAACTGTGAGCACAAAGGGGTTCTACCGTGGGTGCCCGAGAGCCGACGTCCACTGCAGGGACAGGTCTGATCAGTGACACAGGTGTCTACCCAGCAGATGAAGAAAATGAGCGGCTTGGGCTAGGGGAAAGGACGCAAGGAGAACAAAATCGAGGCAAATACTAGGAAAGTCTTGCCAGCTGTGGGCCTCTCTTGCCGAGGAAGGCAGCGGCCGAGAGTGCCCAGAGGAGAGCAGAGAAGGAGCCCGGAGCCCTCAGAAGCCCCTCGGGGCATGCATTTTGGAGATCCTTTCCTCTAGCGTACTTGGAGAAAGGGGGCTTGCTATGTCCTCTGCAGAGAGCCAAGCCCTCACCAGCCAAGTCCCTTGAACATAGCTAGTTCTAGCACAGAAGTCAGAGGCCTAGCCGTGCTCTCACGGTGACCTCCCAGCCACAGCTCCAGGAGTCTGCCCCGTGCATGGTGCTGAGCCGCAGGGCCCGGGAGCCTGAGCGGGTGCTGCGTCTGCGGGGCATTTCTCACGGGGCTTGCAGAGCATCGCTGACCCCCAGCTCCTTCTTTCCTGCAGACCCTTAGTGTGGTCAGGGACTCCCACCAGAGCCCCATCCCTGGCTCCCCGCCCCTGGGCCCAGTCCCAGGGCCCCTGCCTCCCCGAGGGCATGGATTGTGGTCAGCATAACTAAAGTGCTTAGCGTTCGGCTCATTAACTGAGTGGTGCTGGCTCCTGAGGGCCGTCTGGGGCACGTGGCTGGGGAGCACTCTCACCCTCCCTGTCTCCCTCGATGCCAGGGAAGGAGCAGACCTCAGAAATCCCAGTCAGGTCCTGCTGAACTTGGTCGGGGGGAGCTGGGGGCAGGACAGATGCCCCAGCCTTCCAGCCTTGGGGACCTCGGTGTCTGCAAGGAGTCCTGCCTTTGCCCTGCACCATGAAACACTCCTGGCCCCTCGCTGTCTCTATTACAGCTGTGAGCGCTGCTTCATGACCCCACCCCTGTACTGGGCAGCTGCCACAGTCTCCCATTGTGCCCCTAAGTAAACAAGCCTTGGACAGAATAAAACTGTTATTGTAGGGTCAACATATAGGAGCCCTATTTGGCCGGGATTTGTTTGGGAATGCAGAAACTGTCCCCCGGCCGGACTCACACCCTCTGAAAAAATGCTCCCCCGCCACCCGGACCATGCAGAATTGCTAGGCCTGTCCCCAAGAAGGCCTTCAGAGGTGGTGACAGCCTTAGGCAAGATTTTGTATAGACCTGTCCCCGAGGGCACCCTCAGACTGTGAGCCACCCTCTCCCAGAGCCAGACTGGCCCTCAAGCCCCTTCATCAGGGAAGCTTTCCTGACCTCACCCTGAGTGCCCCCCGCCTGGCCTCCTTCCTTATTATTGTGCCCTGAGAACTTCCGCTTTGTGGTCACCTTACGGCTGTGATATAAAAATCACGGATTTGTTTCTGACATTACCGGCTTGCTCTGCCACCAGATTCTAAGCTCTGAGCGCACCGCCGTGTCTGTTCAATTCACTGCTGGGTCCCCAGTGTCTGGGGTGGGGCCTAGCGCACAGGGGGTGTTAGTAAGTCTCCGTGGTTGCGGGAATGAATATATGTGGGCTCTTCCAGCCTGTCAGCCTGCTCTGGGCACTCCTCGAAGGGGACCACACCCTGGTTCTCGGTGCCACGTCCCCAAGCCTCCCTAGAGGGCATGAAGGTCAGCATCTCCTCTGGGGTCAATACCAGTTTGGGGGAGTAGGATGGTCTCCCACAACACCTCACAAGAGTGTCTGTGTTGTAGGGGTCAGGGTACGCAAACCGAAGGGTGCCCACCGTGGGAACCAGGGGTCCATGGCTGGGGCCTCTACTGGCCCCTGGTGCCCCCTGTGTCTGCATTCCCAAATAGGCCTTTCTGGAAAGCACACAGGTCCCCAAGAAGCCATTCCTCCCCTCTGCATTTGTCGGTCAGTGTCAGGATCCGATAGCATTTCAAAGCACTAGACCTCTTTGTTTATGGGCCAGTGTCACTGTTGTCCTTGACTATGTCTCTTTCAAGCTGAGGGTTGGTGTCACTTCAGCCACGTCTCTCAGGAGCCATGCTGCTCTGTCTCCAATCCTGGTGTCCTCTAGGGACTCCTGTCTCTTTCTCTCAAGGGAACAGCCCATCTTCGAGAGGCTGTCTCTGTCACTCCAGGGCTCTGTGCTTCTCTGCTGGTGATTCTCAGGGTCCCTGGTCTCCAGTGAGACGCCTCCCAATCCTTTAGGTGCTCGCTCAGGGTGGCTTGATTTCCTGGGAGGAGGTGGAAGGGCCATGGCATGGGGAAGGGGCATATTTACACTTGTAAAGGGACTTGCTGAGTCAGTTCCAACTGTGGGGTTGGGGTTCAATAGGGACTGTCCTCAGTGGGGCCTCAGCCCACCCAGCCCAGCCCTGAAGCTCCCCAGGGCAGGCCTGGTTTCCTCTCGTTGGGGCGAATCCCCTCATCGGCCCCTCCTGGCCAGCCTCCTGCTCCGCAGCCCATCCCCTCTCAGCTCAGAGACCTTTTTCCGGAGTCCCTCCCTCTGTTTCCCCTAGCAGAGTCTGTCCTCCAAGTCTGGCATGGTGCCTACAACTCTTGTCTCCTCCCCCAGCTCATGGCCAGCACCACCCAGCCCAGGTCAGCTTCCCCAGGGTACCCCCCACCCCAGCTATGGCAGTATAGGTGGCTCCCTTGGGTCCTCCCATCCTGAGTCCCAGAACACCCTCCCTGATTCTGGCCCAGTTCAGTTGCTCTCCCATCTCCCACCTTGAGGCCCTGCCATCCTGTGCCCCCAGGAAAGTGTCTTCGGCTGCGGGAGGGGTCGGGCATCCCCTCCCCCGCACTGCCTGCCCATGGGCAGGCGTGCTTAGCCTGGTGATGTGGTCATGGCGGGTGGGGGGGGGCTGTCTGGACACAGGCCCCTTTGTGCCCAGCCCGACTTGGCTGCTTGGTATGAGGCTCAGCTGCTCCCAGATCCTCACCCAGAGGAGAGAGGGGAGGCTTTGGAGGGGCTGGGGCTGGGGGCTCTGGACTTGAGCTCCCACTCCGCATCCCACCTCTCAGATGTCAGGAGTAACTGCTCAGGTGGGCTGGTGCCCCTGGCACAGGGTGCTGGGGGGCTGGTGAGCGAGGCCCCGCTTGGAATCCTCTGGCAGCCACTCCTCCCTCCTCCCCTTCTCTGCCAGGCCTGCCAGCAGCTCCTGCCAGCAGACGGGAAGCCCAGGGTGGGGGTGGGGGCTTGGAGGGTCCATAGTGTCCCTGCTGGGAGAGGCCCAGAGGGTCAGGCACGGGAGCACAAATGCCTTTCTGATGGTAGCTTCTCTCCTGTCCCCACAGAATGGTGCTGTGCCCAGCGAGGCCACCAAGAGGGACCAGAACCTCAAACGGGGCAACTGGGGCAACCAGATCGAGTTTGTACTGACGAGCGTGGGCTATGCCGTGGGCCTGGGCAATGTTTGGCGCTTCCCATACCTCTGCTATCGCAACGGGGGAGGTACCCAGCGGGCACAGGGCAGGGACCACCCACTCGGATAGAGCCTACCCACCAAGGCCCGGGCTCCCCCTCCCCGGCACAGACCCCTCTCCAGACAGGCTGGCCTCTGGTTCTCATCTCCTTTGCCCCAATCCCTGGCTTAGGTACCTTTTACCTAAGGCACGATCACCCCCTGACCCTGGATGTCTGCTGTTTGGGCCTGACCCTGTTAACCTGCTCCCTTGAGGTCAAGAGAGGTGGAGAAAGGCACCTCAGCCTCCCGAGGTTCCCTGTCTTACACCCCCTGTGTGTCAACAACCCCCTGAATGGCTTGGGGAATTTGAGGATCCCAGCAACTTAGGTTTGTGACTTTGCTTGGTGAACCCATCAAATCCCACCCTAACATGGTGGGTCTGGGGCCTGGGTTCTGTTCAGGAAGCCTCTGCCAAGTTCAAAGGTGGGCTGTGGGTAGGATACCTCAAGCCCCAGGCTCCTGCTCAGTGTGTGGCCCACCCTCCTCGGGCCTTAGCTGATTGCGAAAGTTTTGCTGTTGGGTTGTCAGCAGGAAGAGGGTGGGAGCCCCCAAGCCCACCCTGAGCCAGACCTTTCCCTGCCTGCCAGGAGCCTTCATGTTCCCCTACTTCATCATGCTGATTTTCTGTGGGATTCCCCTCTTCTTCATGGAGCTGTCCTTCGGCCAGTTTGCAAGTCAGGGCTGCCTGGGGGTCTGGAGGATCAGCCCCATGTTCAAAGGTGAGGCCTGGGGAGGGTACACCAGCCCCCCACCCCCCCACACATGCACACACACGCACGGGCCTCTGGGGCCCTACTCACCCATCTGTACAAACACTGCCAACCTCCCCGGAGCCCTGGTGCTTGACCCCAAGCCCTACATCAATGGCCAAGGCCACGGATGCATGCTGGGATCCAAGTTTACTTGGCCTCCGCCCTCCCCACCTACCACGTGTATCCATAAAGCCCCTGGGCCGCCCAGCTCACCCCTGCTAAGGCCTTGACCTGTCCCTTCGATGGCCCTCCACAAAAGCCTGCCCCAGGGGGGCAGGGCGGGGGCCCTTCAGCGTTAACCTTGCTTCCTTCAGCTAGATGCGTGAGGCTGCCCCCCTCCCTCCCTCTCGCAGGTGTGGGCTATGGCATGATGGTAGTGTCCACATATATCGGCATCTACTACAATGTGGTCATCTGCATCGCCTTCTACTACTTCTTCTCGTCCATGACGCATGTGCTACCCTGGGCTTACTGTGATAACCCCTGGAACACGCCTGACTGTGCCGGGGTGCTGGACGCCTCCAACCTCACCAATGGCTCCCGGCCCGCCGCCCCGCCAGGCAGCCTCTCCCACCTGCTTAACCACTCCCTCCAGCGGACCAGCCCCAGCGAGGAGTACTGGAGGTGAGGTCCCGCTGGCCCCTGACCGGACCGAGTGGGGGATGGGGTGGGGTGGGGGGGTGGGGAGGGGGGGACGACATGGACACCTGTTGCCAAGCCTTGGCTTTCCCCGCCTCCCCTCCACCATCCCTGCCCAGCACCTCCCTGCCCAGCACCCCCAGCCATCGGGCAACTTTCTGCTGAGCAGGTAGGGGGCCAGGACCAGAGCCGGGGAGAGGGCCTCAGGAGCTTACAGACGAGCTCAGGAGAGAAGGCTGACCCAGCCGACAGTGCTGGAGGGCTAGACGCTGAGTGGAGCATCCTGACCAGGGTGCTGTGAGGGAGGGAGGGCTCCAGCAGAATGGAGTGGGGACAGTGGGGTGTCTTCCCTGTGAGAACAGCGTGAGCAAAGTCCTCAGGTCCCAGAGGAGCAGAGGCTGGTCCTAACCCTGAAGGGAAGCTCTTCTGCTAAGACTCACAGGTGTGTGGGAAACTCCTGGGACCTATGGGAGCCAAGGAGGGGTACCAGTCTTCTTGGAGAACTTCTATGAATTAAGCGTAGACATACCACTGCAGGGCGAAGGGAGCTGTAGAAGTTTCCTGAGCCCAGAGCTGTCATCATCAAGCTATGCTTAGGAAAGACAGCCTGGCACCAATATGGTGACAGAGATGGGAGTCTCAGTCTGCTGCTGGAGTGTTCTAGAACACCTTGTCCCCACGGGGTAGGAGTGAGGGCGCAGGGGAAGTCCTGAAGGAGACTCCCCGTGTCTTGTTGGGGAACCGGTGGGAAGAGAGTGTTGGGGGCCTGTGGGTAGGGCATGTTAATTCATTCCACATCTACGGGGTCTGCTCTGCCAGGTCCTGGGTACCCATGGGGTCTGAAGAGCCCAGAGGCGCTCACCTGAGGAGTCCACAGCCCTGAGGGGGTCCAATTAGGGCAGAGGTGTAGTAGGGGCACAAAGAGGGGGTGGCCAGTTCTGAAGGGACGGGGGCAAGAGGAGGTGGTCCAGAAGACTTCCCCTAGGAGGGAGGAGGGAGATGTAGAAGAGTTAGGAGAGACATGGGAAGGTAGGCCATGGCTGCGAGGTGGCTGAGGTTTGAAGTCTCTCCACCAAGTGGCAGAGAGCCATAGGTAAGAGGGCCGAGGCCCTGGGGAGGCTGGAAATCCTAGTAGGTCAGTATCCTCTGAGCCTGGTCCCAGTGCTCTGACCCCACAGGGCCTGGCTTCCCTGCACCAGCTGCTATGCTGTGCCACCGATGTTCAAAAACAGCTAAGATGTGGTCACTACCACCAGGGGCTCGCGGTGTAGACAACAGTGCTCCTGCCTCCCAGCGAGGGGCAGGCAAAATTACCGCCAGGCTGACTCAGCCCCTCAGTCGCTAGACAGACCATTTCTTTACTTTTTTTTTTTTTAAGATTTTATTTATTTATTTGACAGAGAGAGAGAGAGAGATCACACGTGGGCAGAGAGACAGGCAGAGAGAGAGGCAGAGAGAGAGGAGGAAGCAGGCTCCCCGCTGAGCAGAGAGCCCTATGCGGGGCTTGATCCCAGGACCCTGAGATCATGACCTGAGCCGAAGGCAGAGGCTTAACCCGCTGAGCCACCCAGGCGCCCCTGGACAGATCATTTCTTGAGCACCTAGTGGGTACCAGACACTGCCCTTGGAAGGGAGACAGCATGAGGACTGAGATACTCGGCCCCTGCCCTAATGAAGGTCCCATCTACTGAAAGGACCAGGCAATTTTCTGCCCAGTTAGGTGTTGTAATACATTTGAGGCACGGTGTGGGCTGGCAACTTGATCTAGACTTGGTGGGGTGGGGAGTCTGGGGAGCACAAAGCCTCACCCACACCCACCAGGCTGCTTTCGAAGCCCTCACCCTAGCAGCTGTCTGCCAGGAAGTCCCAGCTAGCTAGGGCCAGCCAGGGCAAAGTTCTGGAGATTTTATCCAGCGGGGAATAGTCCTCAAAGAAAACTGCTCATGGGTTGGGAGGGCTCACTGGGTGGCCCATTGAACTCTCCTCAGTCAAGGCTGGAGCCAGGCCTGCCTCACTAGCCACAGCCCCAGCGGGACTTCTTCCCTGCAGGATGGCTCCCTGCTGCCCCCTCCTGGAAACCCTGGGAAAATGACCCTTGAGAGGTCTGCCCAGGCTGGCTTCCGCAAGGAAGTGGGGAGAGCAAGCACCCCCATTTCCTGGGCTCCTACTATGTGCCAGGCATATTATCTCCTGTCCTAGTACCCCTATTTTTCAGATTCAGAGGCTGATGTTCAGAGATTAAGGAACTAGGCAGCCACGCTGGGTCAGGATACATGTCCTCCCCCGTGTGTGAATCAGGTCGATGGTATGAATCACGCCGATGAGACTCTGCAGGTGTTCTTGGCCCATGCTCTCCAACACCCCTTCAGAAAGCTGTGTGATCACATTGGAGCTCCACCACAACCTCGTTTGCTAGCTCGTGCAGGTAGTATAAAATAGTCCCATTTTACAGATGAGGGAAGCAAGTCCGAAAAAAGATTAGGAGACACTTCTAAAGCAAGAGAAGCTCAGAGGACAAATTTCTGAGCCCCAGTCTGCCTCCTGCCCACCCTCTGGCCCATGGTCTCCTCTCTCCTACCAGCCCTTCAGTCTTATTTCACGATCATCTGCGTGCTGGTCTGATTCAGGCCCGGAGGTCCTAAGAAACGACCAGGCCCTCACCTCCACAGCCTGTGGAGCCCAGAGCACCCGAAACCCAGTGGGACTCAGGCCCCAGCACCCTGCTCCCAGTGTCTTCATGGCAGCTCTGGAGTTGCACAGACCACCCTCAGATCGTGGCTCTTTCTCTTATCAACTGTTTGGCCTCGGGAGACCACCCAACCTCTCAAAGTCATAGCTGTTCATCCATTAAATGGGAGGGGGTCACAGCACCTACCTTGTTGTAAAGAGGAGATGAGATCACACAGATGGACCATGAAGGACAGGGACGGGTGCTCGGGTAGCACAGTGATGCCTGCCGACGAGCTCCAGCTGCTGCTAGAGACGCAAAGAAACAGATTAGGCTGTTTTGTTCTCAAGGAGCTGATGGCCAGGCTGGGGCAATTAAAAAATAATGCAGAATAATTCCAGAGATGTTATGCACCGAGAGCCAACTTGTAAAGATGTTGGGTTCCAAGAGTTCTTAGGTTAATTGATCTCAAAAGCACATGGTCCCAAAACAAAACAAAAAAACTAAATATGGTGCCATAAAAAAGAGAGGTAGAATTCACTACTTGGTGCTCAGGCTAGCATTCTAAACTTTGTTAACCCCCTGGTATTGTAATGCTGTGCCCTTGCAAATCATATAAATGATTAAACAAAGTCATATAAAACACTACCAGTTAAACATACATAATTAGACAAAGTTAAAAAAAATCTTTTGAACAAGAAATGGTTTCTTTACATGGAATGCTATTGCCAGAAGTAAGGCAGCTCTGAGTGGTAGAAGCAGAAGGACCTTGTGGCTATTCTAGAGGGCAGAACTTCCCAGCACGCACGTGCTCACAGTAGGTGTGCCCCGTAGAGTGGGGCCTGGGCAGCCCGGAGCCCCAGCCCAACTGCCTTCAGCTTTGAGTGATTTCGTCTGTTTACCCCCAATAGCTCCCAGAATACTTTTTCTGTGTACTATGAAGGAAAAAAGATTGAAAGCACTGTCGAAGGGGACCAGGTGCCTCTTGGTGGGGGTCCCGCAGCTCCTGAACTTCTGCCATCCCCTTGACCAAGAGCCTGGAGTTGGGGGCGCAGAGGGACGTCTCAGACAGCGCCCTCTGAGGGTTGCGGTGCAAAGGGTGGCCTCCGGGGAATTTCCGTGGCTGCAAAGAGACAGGCCTGCGGAGCAAACACCAAATCCCGGGCCTGGCAACCTTGTCCCATGAGGGGACAGAGCAACATCGCATCACAAGGTATTAAAAATGTCACCGTGAGGTTTGAGAACGGACTTGGAAAAAAAGGTGAGAGTAGCTGAGAACGATAGAGGACAGTCTATGAGCTATTCTGAGAGGTCTTAGCTGTGAGAGGGGACAGAAGGGAGCCTGTATTTACCTAAGTCCAGCTACAAATTATGCTAGATTGGTGTTATTATGCCCATTTCACAGATGAGGAAACTGAGGCTCAAGAGCTTGCCTCTTGCTCATCACTTCTGGCCTGGACAACTGCAATACCAGGCTGGTCCCCACTCCCAGGTTCTCTCCTTTCTACTTCCGAGTCCATTTACCACAGTATTCACTTACTCATTCATTCATTCATTCAACAACATCTTTTGAGTACTGCTCCGTGCCAGGCACTTCGCTAGACAGTGGGGGAGCTGGGTACTCCTGCCTTCCAAGAAAATGGATGACAAACAAAATAAATTAGGTTAAAAAAAAAAAGAGGAGATGTGTGCTGTGGAGAAAAATCTAGCAAAGGGGGTAAGGGGTGCTGGGCAGGGACCAGGGCTGCCATTTTAAGCAGAGTCGCCAGAAAAGGTCCCTTTGCAAAGAGGGTACCAGAGTAAGTACCTGAAGGAGCTGAGGAGGGAGAAGGCGATGCCAACAAACCCAGCGGCGTAATTTGTGGGGCCCAGTGTGAAATGGACATATGGGGCCCCTTATTCAGATGTAGTCAGAATTTCAAGATGTCAGTGGCAGAACGTTAAGTCCAGCACAAGGCCCTTTGAAGCAGGGGGCCCTGTGTGACTGCACACGCCTCACACCCACGTGTCCATATGGATGTCTGGGGAAAGAGCACTCCAGACGGAGGGAAAGCTCATGCGTGCAAAGGCCCTGAGGGAGGTGCATGCCTGGCATGGTTCAGGAAGTATGTGGAGCCCCATGCAGCTGGGGCAGGGAGCAGGGCATCAAGTACAAGGACAGGAGACCAGAGGGGTGGCAGACTGGGGACAATGGACCACTTCGGGCCTTGCAGCTACTATAAGGACTTAGGCTTTTCCCTGGTGAGAGACGGGTGCTACTGCAAAGTTTTGAGCCAAGGAGAGACCCTGAAAGTGCTATTATAGAAACCCTTCAGAATCTTCCCATTGCTTGTGGGATAAAATTCAAACTTCTCAGCCTTGCCTTTCATGGCTTCTTATAATCTGGCTTCTTCCTTTCCTTCATCCTTCTCTCTTCCCTCACCTTCTGTTCCAGCCTTGCTGAGCTACTGACAGACCCAGGCCAGGCCACGTTCTTTCATGATCCCCTGTCCTGCTGCGAGCTGCACCCGCAACCTGGCATGCACGTCCTCTTCTCTTCACCCACCTGCTCCCTTCCTCACACCTTAGCTCAAGCCTCACCTCTTCTGGGAAGCCTTCCAGAGTGCCCCTCCGCCTGGGATCGAGATGCCCTTCCTTGGTGCCCATGTGCCTGATCTGGGTCTCTGTGCCCGGCACCTATCACAGGGCCCAGCCCATAGGTGTCCCGTTGATTGAAAAGGCACTGCTGGGGCGGTGTAGGGCACTAGATAGAGCCACACATACAAAGGGGAGGAATTTGGGTTTAGGCCTAGGCCTGCGTGTGTCAGAGCCTCCAGTCTTTACTGAGCACTCCACCACCTCCCTCAGCTCATCAGGGATGGAGAAGCTAGTGTGGGTGGAGAGTTCCCAGAAGGCTTCCTGGAGGAGGACGCCTGACAGGATGTGTCCATTCTAGAGGAGAGGGCATTACTAAAGGAAGAAAGGCACAAGTCAGGGTCTGGGATGGGCCCGAATAGGGGTGGGGAGACCTTGACACCCTGGGGGCTGAGGAGGCTGGTCCAGGCTCAGGGTGTTACCTCCGGGCACCTTTGAGGGTCCCGGAGGGGCTGCAAGCAGTGGTGTCTCAGGGAAGCGGGCAGAAGGGGTGGGGTGGGGCCCATTGGGCTGGGGCCTCCCAGTGGCCCCCTTCTTCCATGCTGGGACCTCATGAGAAAGAAGGAACCTGCCAGGCCGTACCCTGGGCCTTGGGACTCAATTGCTGGGCATCAGGGGCCCAGGCCTCAATAACAGAGTGTCCCCTTCCCCAGGCTGTACGTGCTGAAGCTCTCAGATGACATCGGGAACTTTGGGGAGGTGCGACTGCCCCTCCTTGGCTGCCTCGGTGTCTCTTGGGTGGTGGTCTTCCTCTGCCTCATCCGAGGGGTCAAGTCTTCAGGGAAAGTAAGTACCCCTACCCCAGCAGGGTGTGTGCTCACCCAGGAAGACCCTGCCTCCCCTGCTGGGGTTTAGTGTATAGGGCTTGGGCACAGGCAGTGATGAGGGGACATGGAGGGGAGGGAAGGGCCAGAGGGCTGGTGGTGGCTGGGGGACCAGGCAGGGGCTGCCCAGGGCAGGAACAACAGCTGGGAGGAGCCCAACAGAGCCTGTCTTGCGCACAGGTGGTGTACTTCACAGCCACGTTTCCCTACGTGGTGCTGACCATCCTGTTCGTCCGAGGTGTGACCCTGGAAGGAGCCTTCACTGGCATCATGTACTACCTGACCCCCCAATGGGACAAGATCCTGGAGGCCAAGGTGGGCCATGGAGTGTGTCCTGGAAGGGGCGGAGAGGGGCCGAGAGGTGCCCGCCTCTGACCCCAGCTCCTCTGCCCGTCCTGCCCCGCAGGTGTGGGGGGATGCTGCCTCCCAGATATTCTACTCGCTGGGCTGTGCCTGGGGAGGCCTCATCACCATGGCTTCCTACAACAAATTCCATAACAACTGCTATCGGTGAGATCCCCCCCCCTCCCCTGCCCTGCCAGCCCCGGGCTGCCCCCTCTACCCTGCAGCTTTCCCCAGGCTTTCCCAGATCCCCAGACCCAGTGCAGCCTCCTAGGCCTCCCCCGAGGGCCCTCCGTTCCACGCATGGCCTGGAGGTCCTGGGAGCACTGGGTCTGGAGTGCGTCGCTGGAGAATCCCGAGAAGAGGGTGGGGAACGGTGATGCCCTATGGGTCTGTGGGGACTCGAGAGGCTCAGCCCACTTAAAAAGGCCAGGAACAGGGGCGCCTGGGTGGCTCAGTGGGTTAAAGCCTCTGCCTTCGGCTCAGGTCATGATCCCAGGGTCCTGGGATCGAGCCCCACATCGGGCTCTCTGCTCAGCAGGGAGCCTGCTTCCTCCTCTCTCTCTGCCTGCCTCCCTGCCTGCTTGTGATCTCTGTCTGTCAAATAAATGAATAAAATCTTTAAAAAAAAAAAAAAAAAAAAAAGGCCAGGAACAGACCAGAAAAGAGGTTGAGGGGGATTCTGTTCCTAGAATGTTCCATCTCAGGTCTCCTCCCTGCCCAACTGGGCAAAGGGAAAAGGGCAAAGGCAAGCCAGCTGCTCATCTTGAAGCCTGTTTCCCTCCCTCTCCCCCAAGGGACAGCATCATCATTAGCATCACGAACTGTGCCACCAGCGTCTATGCCGGCTTCGTCATCTTCTCCATCCTGGGCTTCATGGCCAATCACCTGGGTGTGGATGTGTCCCGTGTGGCTGACCATGGCCCTGGCCTAGCCTTCGTGGCTTACCCCGAGGCCCTCACCCTGCTGCCCATCTCCCCACTCTGGTCCCTGCTCTTCTTCTTTATGCTCATCTTGCTGGGGCTGGGCACTCAGGTAGGAGGTGCGGGACATGGGCCAGGGGCCCGGTGAAGGAGGAGGTGGGGCCAGAGGTCAGGCCCCTGCTCTGACAGCCACACCCTGCAGTTCTGCCTCCTAGAGACGCTGGTCACAGCCATTGTGGACGAGGTGGGAAATGAGTGGATCCTGCAGAAAAAGACCTACGTGACCTTGGGTGTGGCTTTGGCTGGCTTCCTGCTGGGCATCCCCCTCACCAGCCAGGTAAGACCTGAGTGAAAGCCTGGGCTGGAGTGGCCAGGGTAGGGGGTTTCTGGGGCGGGAGATCGGGGCCTCGGGCACTCCCGACTCAGCTGCCCACTGTCCCGTAGGCAGGCATCTACTGGCTGCTGTTAATGGACAACTATGCGGCCAGCTTCTCCTTGGTCATCATCTCCTGCATCATGTGTGTGTCCATCATGTACATCTATGGTAAGTGCCCAAGTTTCTGTGTCCTCGCGCGTCCCAGTCCCTGGCCTGCCCACGCTGCCCTGCCAGGTTTACTGACACCCCTCTCTCAGGGCACAGGAACTACTTCCAGGACATCCAGATGATGCTGGGCTTCCCACCGCCCCTCTTCTTCCAGATCTGCTGGCGCTTTGTGTCTCCAGCCATCATCTTTGTAAGTTTCTAGTCTGGCCCCTCCCTCCCTGCTGCCCTCTGGCAAGTGTCCTTCTATTGGGAACCAGCAGAGGGAGCTCGGGAGCCCATCCGTCTGGCCAGAGCTCCCCAACGGGGTCTCTGCCTGCACCCAGGCCACTGGGAGTCTGAAAGAGGTTGCACAAAATCAGGTGGAGACTCAGAACCACCCAGGCACCGGCCTCAGTGTAGGGAGGGAGCTGAGAGCCCTTATTCGACTGAAGAAAGCAGACTGGCAGCTGCTGAGAGCTGGCCCTCCCTCCTGCCTGTCCCCCATGGGCCTCAGCAACCATTAGTGATATGGGTGTCCCCCTTGCTGGGCCTGGCTGAGCTCCCACCTCCAATCCCTCTAAGCCTAGGTGCTCGGGGTATGCAGTGTGAATGCATGGGTGTTCCAGAAGTGGGTTGCGCAAGTCAGATGTCAGCTCCAGACTAGAGGCAGCCTCCTAAGCCTTCTAGGCACCAGAGTGGCCTGGCTCTGGAGAGGGAATGCTCTCGTTCCACTGATAATCAACACCTGGGAGACTCCCATCAGGGAGTGGAATTTGTGCACGTTGTTCATGGATCAACTCATGCGATCCGACTCTCCAAGGTAGCATCGTCATTCCCACTTGACAGATGAGGAGACGGAGGCACAGAGATGTTCAGTCATTGACCCAAGTTGACACAACTAATAAAGGACAGAATCGCCCTTGGAAGCCGGTGGTCCCGTCTGGAGCCTGTGTGCTGGGCCAGGCTACACCAGAAATGCCTGCAGGAAGGCGGACTGGTCCACGGGCTAAAAACCATCTGATTTTGCTCCTTTATGCCCAGGGTTGGGGGAGGAGCCACAAAGTGTTTGACGATGGAATGGTGGCTCCACAGAGAAGAGGAAGGGCCACCTGAGTGACAGAAGGGTGAGCCTAGTGGCAGGGGAAGCAGTGTTCAGTTATGTCCCTGTCATGCCCAGCTTCTCTGGGCCACAGGGAGCTCAGCACTGGATTTCCACTTGAGCTCCTATTTCTGGGGGAGGGAAAAGGCCCCCGAGGCTGAGGAGGCCTCTGTCACATGGGGTGTGGGATCTTCCCGGAGGTTGGCACAGCCACCAGCTCTGGCCACTGGCCCAGCTGTGAAACAGGAGCAACGGAAGCCTCCTGTAAGTGGTGGGAGGCGGGGGCGGCCAGGCACTGTGGCCAAGTGTGAGCTCCTGGGGGCTGTGGCTGAGGCCAAGGCCCAGGACCCTCCGGAGGGGAGCTCACCCTCCAGAACTGCAAAGAGGCTGCCACCCTGGGCAGAGACCCCGGGTACCAGCCAAGGTAGAGCAGGAGGCAGGGAGGAGATGGACACAGGAAGGCTCCCGAGGTTTGGGCAGGGCAGTGGCAGACTGGGCCCAGGCCCCATGTCTCTGTGAGATTGAGACAAAGTGGGCAGCACCATCTCTGAGTTCAGAAAGCCAGGCCAGAGTCGCCCTAAGCCGAGGACTCCGGGCCCTGTGGACCCATATTTCTGGGATGTCATGTCTTCTTTGGGGGCTTTACTTCTTTATATTTCTGAAAGGCTCTTTTTGACAAACTGTCTTTCTGTCAGCTGAGACAAGGGACTTGTTTACACCTTGATCAGCATCTAGTTCTGTTCAGGAAACTTGTCATAAGCTCCTACTATGCATGGCTTCCGGGAGGGGGGCCCCTAGTGGATGTGGATCTCGCCCACCCTGAATTTGGGCACCAGGACGCTGCTGAGGGCTCGGGAGGCGGGAGGCGGCTACTGAGGCCCCCCGGGGAATGGCCCATGAGCCACCTGCCCATCTTTCTGCTTCCTTCGTTTGTTGTCGTTGCTGTGGCCCCGGGGTTCATTTCCCATTCCACTCCTCTCTTTCCAAAACCACTCCTGGTCCCCAGCCTGCCATTCACCATTTCTAGCCTTTGGAGCCTCCCCTGTGGCTCCCCAGCCTTAGACAGGTGGGGCTTGGCCCTATCCTCTCCTGCATCGCTCCCATCTCTCTGCACAAGTCAGTTCAAATCGGCAGTGAAGTTGTGCCAGGTACTGTGCCGGGAACTGGAGACCCTGATGGGGTCCCAGGAGGCCCCAGGCCTATGGGAAACATGAAACAAGTGCTCAGCAGTTGGAAAATGCCATTGAGAGCCCTTTTAGGAAGAGGGATGAGAAATCTGGAAAGGCTTCTTGAAGGAGGTGGCATTTACATAGGGTCTGACAGGAAAATGGAGAGGATTCTCCAGAATAAATGAAGAGGGAGGAAAATGCTGGGTGCAGGCCAGACACTGAGACCAGGGTGAGATCAGGGTAAGAACCCTAAGGCCCAGGATTCGGCAAAAGGTAGCCATCAAGAGTCTCTGAGCGGAACTGACTCGGGTGGTTATCAGTTGTTATCAGTGGTTATCAGTTGTTCCCTGGCCGGTTCGGGATTACGGTGCGGACAGACCTCTTCTCCACGATGCCTGATGTCTACCTGTCCCCCAGGCCCTGGACCCCTGGTTCCACCTGCTTTTTCCCCTTCCCAAACCTTGACATTGCCTCTGTCCTGCCCCAAATGCCTCTTCCTAGTTCGGGAGACCAGAGAGGAAGGGGAAGGGGTGCTGGGTGGAGGGCAGAGGCCTGGAGAAGGGTGGGGATGGAGGGGTGGAGGATGGAGGGGCGGGGGGGGGGTGCAGGGGCGGTGCTGGGCTGGCCTCAAGGGCACTCCCTTCCCCTACTGTCTGCAGTTCATTCTCGTCTTCACGGTGATCCAGTACCGGCCAATCACCTACAACCACTACCAATACCCAGGCTGGGCTGTGGCCATCGGCTTCCTGATGGCTCTGTCCTCCGTCATTTGCATCCCCCTCTATGCCCTGTTCCAGCTCTGCCGCACAGATGGGGACACGCTCCTCCAGGTGAGGGGTGGGGGCAGGCCACAGCCAGGTGAACCGGGAGGGGGTGGGTGGATGGGGCTTCATGGCCCCCTTCTGAAGCACCCATCCGCCCTCCATGTCTACCTCTCCTGCAGCGTTTGAAAAATGCCACAAAGCCAAGCAGAGACTGGGGCCCCGCCCTCCTGGAGCACCAGACTGGGCGCTATGCCCCCACCATCCCACCCTCTCCTGAAGACGGGCTTGAGGTCCAGCCGCTGCACCCGGACAAGGCCCAGATCCCCATGGTGGGCAGTAACGGCTCTAGCCGCCTGCAGGACTCCCGGATATGAGCACAGCAGCCCGGGGAGGGCCCCACCCCACCCCACCCGTGCTCCCACCACAGAGACTGGGGAGAGAGGGGACAGGTTTCACCACCTGCCCCTGCCATGCCCTAGCCAGGGCGGCTGCTGTTACCTTGGTCACCACTGGTAGCGTGGTCATTTGTGCTCGTGTCCCCAGTGTTTACAGGTCCTTTGGATGCCAAGATGGCAGCTGGGGATGGGTGTGGGCGATAGGAGGGCTGCCAGGGGTGGGGCCAAAGCACTTTGGAGGGGGTCTCAGGCCAGGTCCCCAGAGATCTGCTGGGCTTTACATGGCCTCCGATGCCCTCACACTTTGTCCGGAGCTGCGGTTCTAGGTGGGCCCCTACCTGTCCCGGTCCTCAGGCCTCCAGCCTCCTGACCAGTGTTCTGCCCCCAGAGCAGACCCCAGCCTCTGCCCAGGCAAATTTGGGTCTTCCTATCCAGGGGCAAGGTGAGGGGCTAAGGGGCTGTACAGTGTTATTTGTCAGGCTGTGCTGCCCAGCCCTGTTTGTCTGTGTGATTATTTTTGTAAAAATCGTATTCTCTGTGGTTGCCACTCCCATGCCCCCCGCCTTGGGCCCCTCTGTCTTCCCTGCCTGCCTGCACCTCACTCGGCTGCTCTGGGGCTTCCACACCTCATTCCAGCCCTGGCTGTCAGGCCCAGCCAGCAGAGGCCCATCACCCAGCAGCCTGCCCAAAGCACTCATTTCTGGGGGGTAGGGGTGGGGTGCTGCTCAGCAGGAGGTTTGAGCCCAGAGCCCCAGGGAAGGGGACCTTACACGAAACCCCCTTGCCCTCCCTCCACCAGGCTAAGGTCCAGTCCTCCCAAACTGGGCTGCCCTTGTTCATGTGCCAAATGGCCCCATCCTGCGTGCCCCATCCCCTCTGGAGCCAGAGCTCCTTTCCCCCCAGCCCCGCAGTGTCTGTCTGTCTATCCTCTGTGCCCCTCTGTGCAGTGACAGCCCTGAAGAGCCACCTCTAATCGTCTGTAGCAATAATGGTGCATCGCCCACCCCTGCCCATCCGTGCACCACTAGGATTTTAAAGTCCATAGATTTTAATGAAATTTCTATTCCTGTCTCTGAGCTGCTGCTGTGCTTTGTCTGAGTCCCCCAGGGGAACAAGAGTCGGGGCCGGGATGAGACCTCTGCCTGCCAGGCCTTTGTGGAGGACCGGGAGAAGAAAGGCCAAAGGCTCTGATGGTCAGAACCAGACACCAGGGGCTCAGCGAGGGGGAGGGGCAAGAAGGGCCAGACAGAGCCTTGCATCCTGGCTCGGGCCCATCCAAGACTAGATCTGAAGCAGGCTGGGCCACAGCAGCTGAGGGGTGGGCAGCAGCGGACGGGGTGAGTTCCAGCAGACGCCAAGGCCTACTTGACGATCAGCCCTTCAGGTGGAGGCCTGGGGTGTTGTGCTGGATGCTGGAGTAGACACTGGCCTTTCCCCAGGGCTGCCCTGAAGCTTCCGGCCCCAGCGGTAGGTGGTAGCCAGGTGTCGGGGGCGAGGGCAGCACTCAGGAGGTGGGGCGGGCAGGCAGCACCGGCCAGGCCCTGTCCAAACCCCAGCCGTCCGGAGGGGGCAAGGCCGGGGTCTGAGCCCCGGGCTGGAGGATCCCACGGGCTGCTGTCTGAAGAGGAAAGAGCAGCAGTGAGCGAGCAGCGGCCTGACCTTCTGGCCACCCTGTCCGGCTGGGCCACCGCTGGGGTTGACCTGAGGCTGGAGGAGACATGGGAGGGCCTCGGAAGTGCCTGCAGCTCCCGGCGCATGGCTGCCTTCTGCTCCTTCAGCTCTGCGGGAGAGGCGCCTCTGACACACAGCGCTCAGCAGCTCTGGGCCGTATACCAGTGTGGGGTGGGGAGCGGGAGGCTGGGTGCTCTGGGGACTCCTGGGGGTCCTCACCTGCCAGGGTGGGCGCTAGGCTTGCCTCAGAGGGCTGGGGTGCCCTTGTGTACTCCTCTTCCAGGCAGCGCTGCCGGGAGAGCTGGCTCAGTGCCCGGCCTGAGGCATGGGTGGGGCAGGGCAGGGTGCAGAGGCCAAGATCCCCATGGCAGGGCCCCCCAAACAGGCTCAGGCAGCCCATAGGGGTCGGGGGGACACTAGCTCCCCTGAAAAGCCTTTCTTGGTGAGGGGATGGCTGGCTTGGACTCAGACTTAGGGAAGGGAAGGAGGCAAAGACAAGGGACAATTCAGCGAGTTAATCTAAAAGTGCTGACCTTGGGCTAAGGGGCTCAAACAGAACCTTCTGGATTCACACACATAGGGACCGTGCACATGTGAGAAATGGCCACAGCACCCACACACACCTTTCCATGCACATGTGCACCCAGACAAACACACACACACGCGGCTCTCCCATGCCAGGTGAGAGGCCGTGGTGTCTACACTGGGCAGAAAGGCTCTGGGCAGGGAGGCCCCGGGCTGCCGCTCACCTGCAGGACAGGGATCATCCTCTCCAAGGTGTGACACTCCTCCTCTAGGAGGCTCCTGGGACACATGGGAGTATGGCAGCCACGGCCAGCTCCGCGAGACCCAGTCTCAGTTAAGCCCTCCACCCAGCCCCTAACCTCCAGCCTCCCCACCGCTAGGACCTCCTGCCTCAGGCCACCCTGCTTTCTGGGGCCAGGCACTGGCTGAAGCCTTCCACCCCTGCCAGCCTCTGCCAGGACAGGATGTGTCCTCCCTGTGCCGACCTCACAGTGCCCGCCAGCCTGCCTTCTGCATTCCTGCAGGGGCCTCCTCCAGCCTCCCTTCTCCCCCACATCACAGCCCCTCCCCAGCTTAAAACCCTGCCACAGTTCCTCCACAGCAGCCCTGCAGCAACCCACCCTTTCCACTTGTCAGCCTTCCTCTCCTGGTCCCCACCAGGCGTGTGTCCCCCTTTTCCTCTCCCGCAGTCCAGTCCCGGTACTTGGAGACCTGTCCCAGCCCCATCCTCCCTGTGTCCACCCCACCATGCGCACTCAGGGGCCTCACCGCAGGTGTCCAGCAACCTGGTCGATGCTGGACACATTCAGTTGGTCCTTGATGATGCTGAGGTCCCTCTGACCGCTGCTGGCAGATGAGGTCACTGTTACTCTCCCCATGTTGCCTCACCCCAGGCCTTCAGGATACAAATGCCACTTCTCCTAGACAGTTCTGTGTCTTTTCTCACAAAGGCAACATAATAGACTGCAAAGGGGAGGAGTTCTGGAGCTTGGGTTTGCAAATCGGCTCTGCCACCCTTCAATGTGCATGAACTTGGGCAAATGGATTATCCCTTCTGAGTTTCAGATACTCGTCGGTAAAAGGGGGCCATCATTCCCCTAAAGGCTTGTGTGAGAACTAGAAATAAGTGGCTGCTTATACACTTGTGAACATGCTCCTTCTCCTTTATCTCAGGCAGTCCCCAGCATTCTCTAGCCCAGCTCTCTTGGATCCCTACATATGGTTGTAGGAGGTCCAGCTCCAGGCCAGGAACTTCTCCATGGAGCCAAGTGGAACCCACCAGCTGGATGGGTCCTCTGCCAAGCAGGAACAGCTCCCTCCTCTCCTACCACCGCTTTACCTGAGTTCACCAGCTCTCATCTGCAATACCTCCTGTTCTGGCAAATCACACCTAGGCTCCTCCAAGGCAAAGCGCAGGACCCTGGGGCTATACTGGACCCAAGCCTGGGTCTGGTCCCTGCAGAAGGTGCACTGAAGGTAATTCAGGGACTCCTTCCAGGGAACCATCAAAGGCAATCCTGGCCCCTTATCAGGCGCACAGCTAGCCCCTCTTAGTTCTGCCGCAGGGCCTAGGTCTGAGGTTCCCACCTGCCCTCGCAGATGGCCTTCTGGCGGAGCCCTAGGAGCAGCTGCCTCAGTTCTTGGCGCATGAAGTCTCTTAGGAGGGGCGGTGGTGCCAGAAGGGAGGAGGGATCAGAGGTGGGGCGGGAGCCAGAGGCTTGGGAGGATCGAGCCTCTTGGAGCAGTGACTGTAGCATCACCACCTGCAAGGAGAGCTGGGACACCTTGGGACTCGGGGGAGAAGTGAAGGGGGCTGGGGGACTGAGGGGCAGAGCAGGGTCAAGAGGGCTGGGGACGGTGAGATCCGGCAAGATCTCGAGAGCCATCAGGCAGGACCGGGGACCCGGAGGAGGTGGGGTAAATCACCCGAGTCCTGGGACAGACTTGGAGTGTGGCCCATCTGCCCACTCCCCACCTCTGCTCGTAGCTCCAGGCTCAGGTCCACCGTCGTCTCGCCCAGAATCCTCTTCACTTCGGGCCGCTCCGGGAGCGGAACGTGCTCCTCTACCAGCTCCCACAGAGACGGGGAGTCCCGGAGCATGGCCAGCCCGCGCCGCCGCCCCCCGACGAGCGGCCCGGGGCTCGTACCTGCGGGAAAGCAGGTGGCCCGGCTGCGTTACCTGGAGAAGGCCAGTCGCTCAAGGGTGGGCCCCGCCCCCTCGCGCCCCGCCCCTCCTCGCCTCACGGGCCACGCCCCCAGCCCGTCGCTCTCCCGGGACTGCCCAAGCCCCACTCTTGTTCTGCCGCCAGTCTCAGCGACTGAATTACCCGGTCCGGAGCCGCCGGTCTCTGGCGCTGTCCCTTCTGCCCCGCTTTTGGCTGACTCTCGGGGGCCACGGTTCCCCGTCACGGCCCCCAGGAGCCGGGAAGTGGGAACCGGGGCTATAGCCCCGCCCCTTCCGCGCGGCTGTCACCCGGGAAACCGCGCCGCTACTCAGGCTCCGCCCCCAGCCATTCCAGGTTGGGGCGGGCGGTGCCGGCTAGCCGGGAGTCGGACCCACAGCCAAGGTAGGTGGTCTGGGAGTACGAACCATCCAGAGTCCTGACGCCAAGCCCTCTGGGCTCGTCTCGCGGCAGCTTTCGGCTTTGGGGCAGGTGGGAAGAACCGAGAAATCGGAGCCCACTGGGACCGTTATTACCTCCTTGCCTCTCCTGGCGGGAGGCAGCGGCACAGTAAACCTTTCCTCCTAGAGTCAGTGAAGTCTCGCGAGCGACTGGGGCCTGGGGAACCCGGACAGCCCGGGCCAGACAGACGGGTTAGGCCAGGTGCCCTCCCACAAGACACACGCGGTGTGGAATCTGGGCCCAGATTCGCTAACCCCAAGCAGACAAAGGGGCTGCTCCATTCACGTTTTTTACTAAAGCACCCACACAAGTTTCTGTGCAATGTACAAACAACGAGCCGGCCCTGGGGCTACTGCCTTCTCTCTGAGACAGGGAGGCGGGAACCAGACTGACTGATCTAAGCCCCACCCGCCCCCCCATGCAAAAGCCCAACCTCAAGATCCCAGGCAGCGACACAGCACCCTCTCTGGTCCCCTCCTGGGGCTGCTCCTCAGCAGGGGGCGCACCAGAGTTTGCCCCTACAATGTTGAATGAAAAAGGTTTCCCCTCCCCTGGGAGCATGGGGGATCCCCAGGTCTGAGAATTCCCCCTGGAAGCTACACTGCCCCCTAGTTGTACCTCCCACTCGTCCAGGCCCTAGGGGACTCAAGGGGGGAGAAACTGAGGCACAGAGAGGTGGAGTGACCTAGCCCAGGCCACTTGGTGAGGCAGTGCAGGGGCTGGCCCGACCCTGACAGTGAGGGAAGGCTGGGCTGGGGTGGGAGGGGCAGGAAGAAGGGTTGACCCCAGAGAGGGCCACACTGGAGGGGCTTGCCCAGGTTGGAAGTCCCCCAAAGTAGGTTCTGAAACTTCCAGGTGCAGCTGGGGGTGCCTATGGAAGACCCTCCGAAAACAGAGCCCACAGTCTCAGTCCTGGGGGGTCCCACAGAGTAGCCGCCAGCCAGGCTATCGAGGTCCATCCTCTGGCAGGCAATCCTTGGCACTGGGAGCCTTTGTCCGTTAGTATCAGCCCCGGGGGGGCCATGACGGGGGCCGCCCAATGTCCACTGTGATATTGGTGAAGAGTGGTTGCCGAGACACCTCCAAGACCTGGTACCGCACTGACCCGATGCCATCCCGCTTCATGGTCAGCTTCGTGTTTTGAATCTTGGTAAACCTAGATAGGATAGAAGTGGGTCCAGATCAGGGCTACCCAATAAACCCAATATGGGATCTCTGGGGCTAAGAATCAAGCCACCCTGGCTTCTTCCAGGGATGGCTCAGTTCTCACCAAACCTTCTGCCCGTCACCTGCTTGGAGCCCTTTTGCTCTGGCATCTGCTTTCAAAACAGAGATCTTATCCCCTTGAGGCCAGAACTGTGACACCCTCACAAATCTCTCTCTGATCTCAGCCTTTTCTCCTAAGCCTTAGACCCAGACACAGGCATCCCACAGGCACCTCAAATGCAAGGGGTCCTGTGTCAGTCATCATCTGTATTCCCCAAAGCCCTCTTCTCTTTGCTATCTTCTCTGTGTCCCTTACCACTTACTTACTGAGCAGTCCCCAAGTACCAGGCTCTGCTCTTAAGTACCAGGGACACAGTCAGGAACAGGACAGTAAGTCCTTCCTCTCATGGCAAGTCTGTTCCCCTAGGGGAGACAGGTAACAGACAAGGAGCACATCAGAATGCTAAGGGGGAGACAGGGCAGAGAGATCAAGATGGCTGCCCTGGGAGGCGTAAGCGCATGACACCAAAGCTGACAGCAGCGGGAAGGGCATTCCAGGCAGAGGTAAGCGCATGCTGACCCTAAACTGGAAATGAGAATTTGCACAGCCAGTGGTTCGAGCTTAATGGGCCAAGGGCGTAAGAACAGCTTGGAGGCTGGAGCGTGTAGGGATGGGGCTCTGGAAGTCAGAGGATGCAGGTTTTTTTATTCTAGGAGTGAGAAGACAGGGATTTTTAGCCCAGTGGGAGGCAAGTGGGAAGGGCCAGAGGACAGGAACAATAGAAGGACGAGAGGGAAACAGGGAAACTAGTGAGAGGCGACTGCAGGAGTCCAGACAAGAGGACAGAGGTGGTGCTGGGGCAGAGGGGGTGAAGGGAAAAGCGGATGGGCTGAGATGTTTTGGGAGTGGCACGGGTACAACCTACTGACGGTTTAGACACACAGGGTGAGTGAAAGAATCATCCAGGGAAACTAGATTTGAGGCAAAAGCCACTAGGTGGATGGAATCATTCCTTTAAGCCAGAAATGCCTCGCTGTCTTGCCACTTCCTCACCCAAGGCGGACATCACTAATTCATGAGGACACGGTGACCCGAAACAGGACCAAGACTCCTGGCATGTGCTTTGAGAGCTCCCCTCCCACCTTCACTGAAACTGTTTTGATCCTCCCGGTCCTTCTGAGCTCAGCTCACATCCCTCTCCAGAGCCACCCCAGCACCTAGCACTCTCCCTCAGATGCCCTGCAGCCCCTCTCCTCCCGTCCCTGTTCACCCTGCTTTTCATCTGAACTGCTTTTCCATCAGCTCCCTGGATGCCCAGTGCTTCATGCTCCTGCCAGAGGCCAGCCCACCACTGGTGCTGCAGCCTATCTCCCCACTCTTCCACCTGGCTTCAGAGCAGAACACCCCTACTGTTCTATCCAGGCGTGTGGCAGCCTCACACTCAGCACACCTCTGGGCCCCGTGATTCCTCCAAACTTCCTTCCTGGCCCACCAGCAGCTCTGCCAGCCCTTCTTCACCTTCTTCAAACTCAAAGGGTGATCTTTCAAAGCCGAATCTGATCCTGCTTCTTGCCTGCTTAAAGCCCTCCCATGACTCCCCATCGCCCCTGGCACAAAAGTGAAACTCCCAACCTGGGATCCGAGACCCCAGACACCCAGCACTGACCCCACTGCTGTCACTCCCAGCCCTCAGCGACTGTAATACCAGAGTCCCAGACTCTTAACTTATACCACGCACGTTCACATTTCCAGACTCCTGCAAATACCATTTCTTTTCTCCAAACTGGCCTCCTCCACTAGCCCGGTGAATACGGCCCTGTGCCCAAGGCAGGCGTGTGACAAACACCTGCTGAATGCATGATCTTTCAAACCCTGGTTTACCATCACCTCCTCCTGGAGAGCCTCCCACCATCACTCCCTCTTCTGCCGGGACAGCACCTTGCTCTGATCGCCGGGGCCTTAGCTGCCTGTCTCCCTCACTAGAGTGAACTTTCTGCGGGCTGTCCAGCAGGGACTGGCTCCAGACTCCCCACACACACTCCCCCAGGTTAGAGCAGTGCCAGGAAGCCCTTGTCTACACTGCACATGCCCTCAGGTGCCTCTCCCGGCTGGCACCAGCACCTAATGTCGCTACGTCCTCAGGGACGGAACGGCCTGCTCCCGTCTCAGAGGGGTCAGCACTGTCTGTCCGCGCCCTGCCCCATGTTGCTCGGGCCACCTTCGTTGGGTCCCCAGGCCCAGGAGCTGTGCCCGGTGCCCGCTACCTCTTGTCTTGTCTGCTCTGGCATAAGGGAGGTCTGTGAGGACACCAACGGGAATGTAATCTACTCAGGGAAGATTTGAACCCTGCCTTTACATTGTTGTGACCTCTAGGAATTAAGCCAGGGATGACAGAAGTCTGGGGTGAGGGTGAGCTAGGGGTTGGGGAACAGGGATCAGGGGCATGGGAGTCCTCTCCAGGAGTCAAGGGGTCAGAGGCCTTGGGAATCACGTCTGGGGATCAGTGGCACTGGGAAGTCCCTTCTAGGAAGTAAGGGATTAGGGGCATTTGGGGTCACCTCTGCGGGTTGGGCTCGTTATGCTTGTCCCGGTCGTGCTTGATCATGCGGTAGCGGCCTATGCGGATGTCTGGGCGCGAGATCTTCATCCCAGTCAGGGAGATCCTGGGGATGGGGACAGACGGGCTGGAGCAGGCACCAGGAAGGGCAAGGAGCCTCGCCCGGTCTGCGCTGCACCTGCTGCACCCAGTCTACTCCCCACCCCGCCCAGACTCACCGGTTGAAGATGTCGTCATCCTCGCCACCCCAGCCCCAGTACTCGTTGGGGAAGCCGTTGATTCTCAGAAACTGGGCTTTACTCAGGCCTGACACACCTCCGAAGTAGCCGGCATAGGGCAGCCTGCAGCACGGAAGGGCAGGTGTCAGCCACGGGCCTGAGGGGGATTCCAGGGGGAAGGCCGGAGACGGGGTGAGGGGCTGGGAGCAAGGGGACGCTGGGTGCAGTACCGACCATCAGGGCAGGAGTCTGGGTCTGGCTGAGAAGGGAGCCCTCACCGGAAACCGAACTTGTCCATGGCAATGGCAAAGTGGCGGGGCTGGTCACCACAGCGGTACAGGTTGCGGTCATCCATGGGGACCAGGTCCACGTCGCTGAAGATGAAGCAGTCATAGGTGGCATCCTCTTTCAGCGCCTCCAGGAAGCCTACGTTGAGCAGCTTGGCCCGGTTGAAGGTGTCCTCGCCGTGCTGGGGTTGGTGCAGGGGACAGGTCAGCTCTGGGCCTGTGACCGGCAGGCACCGGCCACTTTACCACTGGCCAGAGCACTCCCCAAGGGGCTCCTACTTCCCTGCCTCCCCCTGACCCCACTCTGAATGGCTCCCCTAAGTCCTGCCTTCCAAGACCTTCCAGGACTTGGCTCCAGGCTCCCCTCCAGCCGTTGCCCTCAGAACCCAAGGCCCAGCTGCGATACGTTCCTCAGCAGCCCTGGAACACTCCAGGCTCTTTACTGCCTTGAGACCTTGCTGTTAGCTCTGGAATGCTCTCCTCTGACGGTCAAGCTGGTGTGTGGACAGGCATCCCTGATCACACCTCCCTGCCTCTGTGTCATTCGTTCGTTCTGTCCTGTGAGCTTCACTGAGTGTCCGGTTACACTGTGACTTAGAGTGCTCGTTCCTTTCATTCTTTCACCCCTTCATCCCAGCATGCCCTATAGCCCTGTCCTGGGTGCCCAGCATCTTCCCTGGGCTGGTGGGGGCCTTCGAGGAGAGCAGCCTGGAACCCACTGCATCCCTGCTGAGCACACTCACAAGAGAAGATGAACAGTGAATGCCCCAAATGACCAGTGTCGAAGACAAAGAAACCATAGGGACTGGGCCATCCGGCCCCTTTGGCTCGTCTGGATCCGCATCCAAACCCCCGGGCAGCCTCTGAGACCGGGACAGGACCTGGCGAGATTCCCCAGTCTCCCCCGCAAAATGCCAAGCACAGGTGTACAGGCAGTCATGGCCCAGAGAGCCGGGGGGTCCCCTGAGCAACGGGGCTGCAGGGCCAGGCCTCTTTGAGGCGGGGTTCCTGGCCATGCATGCCCACGCTCCCAATTCTAACCAGAGCAAGGAGGATCCCATGAAAGGAGCTGACTGCTGAGCCCCCTGTGCCAACCTACCATCGCTAGGCTGGAGCTGGGCATGGCCCTGGAGCGGAGTCTTTAGGCAGGCCCCTTGAGAGCGAGAGGAGGAATCACGGCCCCTCCTTCCCACCAGCCAGCCTGAGCCCCACAGGGTGGGAGCGGCTCACCCTGATTGCTCTCTCTCCTGGCCCTGCACCTTCCCTCCCACCAGCCCTTGCAGCAATTGTGCATTTTCTCCTGGCTCATCGGCTCTCCTTTCTGACCTTTCTCACCAGCCAGGAGACCTGAGTTTCTCCCACGCGGCTCATAAACATGTCCAATTTTACCCCATCTCAAAAAGAAACCTCTCCAGCCACCACCCTACCTTTGCCTCCCCTTCTCGGCAGAGTGTTCTTTTGTTTTTTTTTTTTTTTTTTTAAAGAGTTGCCTCCAATTGGCTATTTCCATTTTGTCAAATCTGATTCCTTCTTCAACCCACTGCAATCTGCTTCCGCCCCCACCATGCCCCTGAAATGGTTCTCGCTGGGCCCACCTTGTTGCTAAATCCACTGGACGCTGCTTAGTCCATATCCTTCCTCCCCCAGCAGTGCTCACGTAGCTGCCATGCTTCCTTCTGGACACTTACTCCTGGGCTTCTGGGACACCACACTCTCCTGGGACTCCTCGAACCTCTTCTGCCCAACCTTCCAGTCTGTAGTGCTGTCCCTTTCTCCACCCATCCCTTACATGCTGGCTTTCCTCTCACAGGCCCTGAGCTCCCCAGGCAGGATGGACGTTGTTGGGTTTAGGGACCATCTGCATGCTGGTGGTTCCCAGATCCCACTCTGCACCTCAGACCTCACCGCTGGGAAGACTCATTGGTCCAACTGCCAGCTGAACATTCCTTTCGTACTTCGCGCGGGCACCCAGACTCATCCCATGCAAAAAAAGAATTCAGGGTCAGGCTCTCCCTGGCGCAGCTCCTCTGTTCCGTCTCACTCACAGGCGCAGCTAACCATACAGCAAATGGCCAGGAAGAACCCTCCAGGTGTCCTGGTGTCTCCCTTTCCTTACTTTCTACCGTGTCACATCTCTCCCTTCACAGCCACCACTGCTGCTGACCCACACACAGATTTACTGTCTCTTTGCTGAATGTCATACCCCTTCTCAACTGGTCACCCTGCCACCAGCCTCCCCCTCCGTCCCATTCCCCACATGCAACCAGAGCGATCTTCCCAGGAAGCAAGCGTACATGCTACTCCTCGCTTAATCCAGTGGTGGCACGCCGCCTTTAGACTGGAAGTCAACTGCTTCGCTTGCCTCCGGAGACCTTTCTGGATTTGGCCTGTGCCAGCAACTCCAGGCTCATCTTTGCTACCCACCCTACACGCTGGACCCCACACCTCCGCCAGTGGTTCCCGAAGACATGAGACCAGCTCTCTGGGTGGGACCTGGGGCCTCCAGTCCGTCTGCAGACTGATCCCTACTCATCCCACAAGCCCCATCTCAACCACCACTTCACCCCAGGGCTACTGTTCAAGGCCCATCTGTGCCCCCACAGCCCCCTGCTCCAACTCATCCCACACAGTTGTCTTGGAGTCTATGGGGATCCAAGTCCAAGTATGGGAGTCCCAAGTACTGGAAGGAGGACCTATATCAGATCCTCCCCAGGTCCCAGCAGCCAGGCCTCACCAGGCCCAGGGCAGGGACTGGACCCTGAGCTGAGCTCCCGGGGCCTCTGCTGTGGCTGTGGCCCTCACACAGACTTCATCCCTCTTTCAGGCTCTAACCCGCCCCTCTCCAAGGGCTTCTCCACAGCCCCTCACAGCCAGCTGACCCTAGGGTCTACACGGGGCCCGCCAGCTGACCCTAGGGTCTACACGGGGCCCGCCAAGGGTAGACCATGGGGCTCATCTGCGCTGCACATGGCCATCAGCGTGTGTGCCAATGCTCGCGTGCACACTCCCCATCACGCACCTGCAAACCCTCCCACGTGAGCAGGCACGTACACAAAGCCCCACACGACCACAGGCAGGCGAGAAGCCATGAATGCTCCCGCCCGCACTCACTCACTGAGAGGCACACGGATCTCCCCAGCCGCAGGTGCTCACGGTGCCCAGCCCCGGGGCCCCAGGCAGCACACCTGGTTGATGACGTAGACGCCATAGCGCAGCCGCTGTCGCCTCAGGATGGGGTGCAGGTAGTGGAGCCAGTAGCGCAGGTGGTGCTCTCGGTGCCGGAAGGGGATGATGACTGCCACCGTCTGGGCCGGCATGCAGTCGGGGGGCGCATAGCGGCCGCCCAGGAGCACGCCCGGGTTCTCCCTCTGCACCCGCTCCAGCGGCATGGGCGAGGTGAACTCAATCAGCAGTCGGCCCACTGCAGGCGGGATGGTGGCAGGAATCAGCTGGCCGTCCGAGGCCAGGGACGCTGGCCCTCTTGCTCAGCCCCAGGGGAAGGCCAGGGAAGCCCCGGAATAGCCCTCTTGCAACAGACCCGGACCCCCTGTACACCCATGGGTCACTCCCTGAACCAAACCACACCGGTCTTCTGCGCATCCCTAGAGGCTAGCCTGGCCCTACCCTGCAGGCTCACCAAGGCCTGGCGGCGAGTCAGGACAGGGAGGCAGGACAGGAGCCGTGGGGCCGGGCCGGGCGCTGGGAGCCTCGGGGAGCCCCGAGCTGGGGGTGGTAGCGTTGGGCCGAGAGAAGTTGGTGCTGCTGCTGGCAGCTGGGTGGAGGGCCCGGGCAGGGCCACGGGCACTGAAGCGGCTGAAGAAGGCCAGGTGCTGGGCGTAGACGTCAAAGTAGAGGATGACGGCCACAAGAAAGTGCAGCAGGCAGAGGAGGAGCACGGCCTTGCACACGCGCTCCAGCGTCCCCCCCAGCAGTCTGCTCATCCCGCAGGCGGCCGCCGGCCCGCCCAGTGGGCCCGGGCATCCGGCTGCCGGCCTGAGCAGGGGGAAGAGAGAAACAGACCCAGCAGGTCAGGGCCTGATGAGCCAGGCTACCCAGCCCCCGCCCCCGCCTGCTGCTCACCCTCACAGAACCGCATCCTTACACTTATTACCTGCTCACATCCTGTGACACTCGCAGACTCCCATTCACACGGACACAGTCCCTGGCAACTCACTACTCACACAGCCTCACACACCTGAGTACTAACCCACAGACACACATGTTCCTCATTCTCACTGCCACACATACACAGAAACACAACCTCATGCTCCCACACTCAGGTGCACGCCCTTATTGCGTGACTCGACACACAACCCTGTGTGTCCTCAGAAACATGAACACATGACCTCTGACCACGGTGGTTCATACCTCCCAATGAAAACACATTTACTTGCAGACCCACATGTGTACCTGTGCCCCAGAGAACAGACACCCCACAGGCCAGCATCCTCAACCCAGAACTCCTGGTCTGGGGAGGCGCGACCATTTACTGAGTACCTAGCATGCAGGAACCCTTGGTACTCGTGACTTCAGTTCGTCCTCCCAGGACCATGGTGGGCAGTGGTGTGGTTGGACAGGTACCAGTGACAAGTAGGCCAGGCCAACTAGGACCAGGCTGGGAAGTGGCCCTCAGCATCCAGGAGGCCCAAATATGAACAAGATGTTTATGGGATCCCTGCCCTCCGGAGTGGGAGCTCAAAATACAATGTGGGGCATACAACACTCCTCCTTTAAGACCTCAAGGATTGGGATGAACTTTCTGGAGTCTGCCCAGCACTTACTGGTTCTGATTCCGGGAAGAAGGAACGCCTAGGCCCTGGAGACCCGTCCAGTACCAGCATGCCAGGGAAGGGTCTTGGGCCATGGCTCCAGCTGGGGTTCCAACAGAGCAGCACTTCTGGGGGCTGGGTCTCACTCAGAGATACACAGCACCACACAACCACAGCCACCGTGGGTCCCAGCTAAAGTCACCTGCACCCACACACACTGAGAACTACATGGAGTCACAGACACACCCCAGTGACAGTAACAGTAACAGTAACGCAGAGTCACACACTCACAAACAAAGCCGCTGCTCCTCGACGTACACAGCCATGCATGCAGGCTCCCGGGCAGCTCGGACGCCCGGCCCCACGTGCAAACATTCCCACCCCTCCCTCCGGGGCAGGGGTTCTGGGTCAGGCTGGCGGCCAGGCTGCGAGGTGCCTTAGGGCGGGGCTGAAAGGCAGACCGGCCTGAACACGTGGCTCCCCGGGGCGGGGGAGGCAGTGAGGACCCGGTGGGTGTGAAGTCTGGGGGGGGGGGGGGGATGGGGGGGGGGGGGGGGGGGCGGGGGCCGAGGCCGGGGGAAACGTGAGTGGAGCGTCTCCCCGCGCCACGAGGCCAGGGCGAGCGAGGACAATAAGGGAGGCTGGCAGGGGGCGGGCAAGAGGAGCTCGGGGCGGGGGGTGGGGAGGGGAGGGAAGAGCCGAGGGGGAGGGATGGGGGAGGGATGGGGAAACGCCAGGCCGGGGTCTGGCCGCCGGCGCCTCTCACCGGCTCCTGGGCGGGGATCGCGGGGCCGCGCTCGGGGCGCTCCTCGCGGGGCTGGGTCTGGAATGTCGGGGCCCTGGGCTGGGGGCCGCGCGCGCACCCCTCTCACCCGGCGCTCGGGGCTCAGCAGGGGGCACCGCTCCAGCTCGGGCTGGGTTCCCGGCTCCCGTGGCTGCAGACGGCTCCGTCCCCCATGGCCCGGCCCCGCCGCCTCCCGCCGCCCGGTCAGCGGCCCCCGCGGCCCCCGGGCCGCCTCCCGCCGCCGCCGCGGGCCATGGAGCCGAGCCGCCCCGGGGGGGCAGGGCGGGGCCGGGCGGCCGGGCAGACCCACGACCGGCGGACGGATGGACCACAGCGCCGCCGCCTCCCTCCCGCGCTACGGCGCCTCGGAGGGGCAGGCCCGGCCGGCGCGCCCGCGCGCGCGCCCCCGCGGCCCCCGCCTCCAGCGCGCCCGCACCCGCCGCGCGCCTCTGCCGTCCGCCCCTGCCGGCGGCCAAGCGCGGCGGAGCGAGGGGACAGAGGTGGCACGGGACCAGAGAGGGGCGGAAGAAATCGGTAAGGCTCATCCCAGAGGTTGGATTCGGGGTCCGGACTGGGGAGGGTGTGGGTGTGGGCTGGAGCGTGAACTCCGCCAAAAGGGGGCTTCGAAGTTAGGCGACTCTAGCAGGGAGGTTAGGGATTTGTCCTCTCATTGATGGGAACAGGGTTATAGGTCTGCCAGCGGTCGCGGGGTGGGGGTGGGGGTGGCTGCTGGTTGGGCAGGACCCTTAAAGGCCTGAGAAGTGTGTGGCAGGGGCTTCTAGGGTGAAAGGATGTTGGTACAAGATTGCACAGAAGAGGGAGGAGCTGGGGCCCTGGGAACAAGGGCTCAAATTAGTTACTGGCAGGGGATGGCACTGGGATATGCAGAGGCAAACGAATGGGCTCCAAGCCCCACAGGGATAGACAGTGAGGGATGCCTGAGGGTAGAGCCAGATAGATGTGGCCCATATGGGCTTAGCAGACAGAACCTTGAAGACCTGGGACTGGGAGGATAGCCCCCTCCTCTGCACAAACACCTGGGTCCATTCATCCCCAGTGTCCCTTGCTCCTTTCAATAAAGATATTCAAGGCTAGAGTCATCAGCCCAGCACCCTTCCTCTCCACCCAGGAACCAGCTCTGTCCAAAGCAGAGACTGTATATGAGACAGGTGCCAAGAAGCTGGCATAATGTTGAGGCCTATAGGTCGGTTTACTCTCTCTCCATGAAATAATGTAACAAAGGAGGGCAACAGAAGCAGCACTGACCCAGACAAAAACCACGTTTATTTCACAAACACTGGGAAGATGGGTTGGGGGTAGAGGCGGGACATAGGTGCACAGCTGCACACAGTCATCAGCGACCCACTCCCCACACTGAGGCTCCAGCCAGGTAGTGCCTCCAAGTTGATGGGCAGCGAGAAGCCAAGTGCAGGGAGGGCCCTGAACACCAAGCCCCCTGAAAGGCCAAGGGTGACAGCTCCAGCTGTCCTGGGAAAACCACAAATAAATAAGAGTGGGACACGGCCCCACCCAAACAGATCATCTAGTCACCCATCTTCACTCTGGAGGTCTGCAAAAGAAGAACAAGGAGAAATCAGGCAGTGACAGAGGAATAAATAAGACAGTAATAACAAATGACATAAGGTCAGCTCTAGCAAACCCATGGCGGGATGGACAGACCACAACAGATGGATGATGGGACCAAGATGGGCATGCTGTGACAAACACCGATGAACAGGGACAGTCAGTCAACCACACAGTTAGGCTGTGGGACAGAGAGACAGAGGAGTGGCACATGAACAGGACTCATTACCAAGAGTCAACCCAGCTAAGCATTCCCATTCAGACCACCAGGCTGATCCTCAGCCACACGCACACATTGTTAGAAAAGATGCACACAATTCAGACATGCTGTTCTACTCACAGAATAGATACACACAGGCCTTGAGACACAAAGTCAAACACACCAAGACAGACTGACAGACAAGATCCCAATCCAGGCTAGACTACAAATAAAGACCAAAAAATAATACAACAGAAAGCCCCAAAGACAGACCTACAGACACAAAGCAGCAGGGAGATACACATCACGCTAGTCAGTGATACCGCGCTGGAAAGCTTCAAAAGGGGAAAACCGAAATATGGGAATTAAGTGGCCGGAAATGCTCAGGAATTCTATGGTTATAGATGGAAAGAGAGTGAAGCTGGGTTGGGGACAAGGACACAGGCTCCCCAGGGGATTCATCACCTGAAGGATTGCAACAATGACGCCAAAGAGGCCAATGGCACTGCCAAAGATCTCCACGATGAGAATCTTCACAAAGAGGCTGGGGTTCTGTGCATCAGCCAGTGCAGCTCCACTGCCCACGATGCCCACGCAGACTCCACAGAAGAGGTTAGAGAGGCCCACTGTGAGGCCAGCTCCAAACATGGAGTAGCCTGAGGGGATGGAAGGAAGAGTATTGAGGCCAAGCCAGGCACAAAGGGAGAGGAAGACAAGGCCCCAACATGGACTCATGGGGCTAGTCACCACTCCCAACTCTGCAAAGCAGGCCAAACAAATGGAGTGAATGTTGAAATGATGGGTCTAAGCTGGGGCACAGAAGTAGGGAAGCAGACATAAAGCCCCAGCTTTTTTCCTTCACATATCCACCTACCTGCATGGTAGTTTCGATGCCCAATGGCCTGGGGGTCAGTGGCACTGAAAGGCTGCAGGAGGCAGAAAAGTAATCAGAAGCTACTCTTCCTCCTCCAGTATCATTAATCACTGTGTAGAACACACTGGAACAGATGCCCACCCCATCGTGGTTCTCCGTACCTCAGCCATGTTGCTGATCACAATTGCCATGATGATGCCATAAATGGCCACAGCCTCACAGAAGATGATGCTGGTAGTGGTGGGCATGGGGGTGGAGAGGAGAAAAAGATGAGAAAGAAACAAATCTTCCTCCCCCAGAGAGTCCCCAGCCACCATTTCCCCTACTGATTTCCCACCCCATCAGGAGGCTGGTCAGAAGCAGCATATCAGGTCAAACAAACAGGGAGCTCCCAACACAGATGGTCTGGCAACCCTCCAAAGGTCCTACATTTACCTGACCAGATTCTTGGTCTTGATCCTGGGGGCCTTCACCCCTCCTCCAATGATAGAAGAGCCAGTAATATAGATGCCCCTGGTGGAAAGATAAAAAAAACGATGAGCAGAGCCCAAGCTTGTCACTGCCCCCAAGATGACTAAGGACCCACTGACACCACCTGCTATGACTCACCTCTCTCCCCAGTCCCACCACCCCAACACTCACCATGCTGCCCCAACCACAGACAGGGAGATAGCTAGACCAATGCCCAAGTTTGACCACATGAAGGGGGAAGTTTCAGTCAGGAACCTGGTGTTGAAACGGGGAGGAAAGCAGTTTCAGCCTTGGTGGAGAAGTGAGCACAAAATCCATATCCCAACCCTCCAAGCCCACCAGTCCTGAACGCTGAGATAAAATACATCTTATGTCCCAAAGGTCCATGTCCCATGCATCTGGGGATGGGGTGGAGTAGGGGCTTAGATCAGTGAAGGAAAGCTGCAAAGAAGCTCCTAGGGGAATCCTCTCCCTGCAGTCCCTTACCATGCCACATCAAAGCGGAAACCCAAGTCAAAAATGGTGTAGCAAATTCCTGCAGGAGTGAGGAAAAAGGGTTAGAGGCGGTTCTCTCGAGAGAAACTTCCCAACTTAGACAAGAGTCCTTGCCCACCTGTAACGTCCCCAAAGGTCTGCCTACAGGTAAGTCAAGGGAGATTTGTCAGGCTGGCCTCCATGTGAAAGCACAGCTATCTATTCAGACTCCTCGGCTCAGGCCTCCATTTTCTGCCACTCCCTCAGTAACCTACCGTCTCCCAGTGACACCACCTCCCAGACCAAGACCCTCCACGGCCATCTACCAGTAGGTCTGAATACCCCGGAGAAAGGGAGAGCGCACCGGATCCCACCAGCCGGATCTGAGCCGCTGTTTACCCAACAAGCTGTGGGTGGGGGCGGAGGGCCAAACGACCGGGAAAAGAGGAACTGGAACGGCCGGCTCGTGACCTAAGCAGGCCCCTCTGGAGCAAGCGAGGGATCGCAACAGTGAGATGGGGGAGGGGCGGTAGTGACAGAGAAGTACGGAACTGCTCTCGCGGCCCCCACCTCCCCCCGTCCGCGCCCCTCCTCAAGGGACTAGAAATCCGGGTCTCCTCTGTCAGGGTCAAAAGCCCCAACAGCCTTGAGGCAAGTCCTGGGGCCCCAGACACAGACCCCACGCTGGGGCCCAGCATTCCCAGGACCCCACTTCTCCCGCTGGACTCCAGCCCCGCCAGCGGGCCCGAATGCTGGCCCCGCCCGCCAGGGCCCGGTCTCACCCACGACCAGCATGCAGGCCCAAAAGGCCACGAAGACCCCAGAGTAGAGCAGCGCTAGCCCCGTCATGGCGGCAACGACGGCGGGGCTCGGGTCTGTGGGGCCACAGCTAAACCCGCGTCCCTGCGTCCACCGGGCGCCCCGCAGTCTGTCCGCCGGCCCCGCAGCGCCACCTGACTCACCCACGTGACGCGCAGACACCACGTGACCCCACGCCCAACCCTGCGCCTTTGTCCGTCCAGAACTTTGGCGACGCCAAAGCGCTGAGAATTGTGGTTGTTGTAGTCCCTCGCTTCGGAAAGGGATCCAGCTGTCCTCAGTACCGCGACCTCCGGCGGGTCACTTTCGTCTCTCTCCAAACCGCTCTTCCTCAGCTCCTATAGTCAGCTCCACTTGGGCTCACCGGCCCCGCTTTACACCAGAGCCTCCTCGTAGGCCTCCAAGTCCATGCTGATTCCATGGGCCTCCTCCCTTGCTGTGCTCCCCAGTTCAGCGAGGGTGTCTTGCTAACTTTGCTTATGCTCCTTTCTGCCTGAAGCACGCTTCTTCGTGTTCATCTCGTTGCCCAGCTAACACCTATTGGTCCCCAGAAAACACTCTTCTAGGAAGTCTTTCCTAACCCAGAGGCAGGGCAATGTGCCTGCTCTGGGCTCCCCTGCTGTCCTGGTGATCCCTATGAAACTTGTCACTCTTTAGTTTAAAATGCCATTTCAGGGGTGCCTGGGTGGCTTAGTCAGTTAAGCATCCGCTTTTGACTCAGGTCATGATCCTGGGGTCCTGGGATAGAACCCTGCATCAGGCTCCCTGCTCAGCAGGGGAGCCTGCTACTCCATCTCCCTCTGCTTGTGCTTTCTCTCTCAAATAAATAAAATACTTAATAAAATGCCATTTCACTCAGAATAAAAGCCACAGTCCTAGTAATGGCCTACTACTAGGCCTCTCCTGGTGCAGCTTCCCATGCCCCTTACCTGATCTCATCTAATATTCCCCTATTAACTGCACTGGCCTCCTTGCTATTCTTTGAACATACCAGCCATATCCCCACTACATCATCCTTGCATTTGTTCCCTCTGCGTCTACTTATCCATATGGCTCACTCCATAACTTCCTGTCTTTGCTTACCTTCTTCAAAAGGCCTTCCCTAATCATCTCGTTTAATACCGCAATCCACTATTCCTTATGCTTCTTCCCAGCTTTAAAGTTCTCCATAGTACCTATCACCATTTCCCATACTAAGTATTTTGTCCATCTCTCTTCCTCCACCCCCCATGAGAATGTAAGTACCATGAAAGGGTTTCTGTTGAGCTTACTGTATTTCCAGTGCCTGGCACACAGTGCGTGCTCCATATGTATTTGTAAAATACACGACTGGTGCCCATTTTGTCCGCTGCCACAGTCAGTTTACAGATCTGCCTCTACCAGTAGACTGGGCACTCCCTGAGAGGAGGGACCACATCTCCGTTTACCTGCTTCTTCAACACCTTGGACAGTGCCAGTATGCCAAGAATGTCTGCAAACTTGGTAATGAAGAAATGCCCCATGGGGCGCCTGGGTGACTCATTTGGTTAAGCAGCTGCCTTCGACTCAGGTCATGATTCCGGGGTCCTGGGATTGTGTCCCACATTGGGCTCCATGCTCAGGAGAGAGCCTGCTTCTCTCTCTCCCTCTGCCCGCCGTTCTGCTTAATTGTGCTGTCAAATAAATAAAATCTTAAAAAAAAAAAAAAAAAAAGTGCTCCCAGGGCCTTCCCTCCTCACTGAAAGTAGTTTCACTGTCTTGTAATTGCTTATTTAACTGCCTCTCTTCCTAACTACACTGTGAGGGCAGGAATCCAGTTAAATACAGTTCAGATCTCCACTCAGGACCTATAGTGTTTGATGAATAAAAAGAAACAGAAGGAGAAAAAGTATCCAGTTTATTCAAGTTTCTGTGATCTCCTGTGAGAAACAAAATAGGAATCAGTATAGACCAGCATTGTCCAACAGAACCTTCTGAAATAATGGAAACGTCCTATAGCTGCATTGTCCTCTCATGTGGCTAAATGACCACTGAAATGTGACTAGTCTGACTGAGAAATGGAATTTTTATTTTTTATTTTTAAAGTTAACTTTTTTAGTCATCTGTTGACCCACCACATTGAACTCATGATCAAGAGCTGCACACTTTTCCAGCTGAGCCAGCCAGGCACCCTGAGAAATTTTTAATTTTAACTAATTCAAATTCACGTTTAACAGCCATGGGTGTCTAGTGGTTACTTTGTTGGACAACACAGGTCTACACCAGTGGTTCTCAACTAGGGACAGTTTTGCCCCTACAGCAGACACCTGTCAATGTCTGGAGGCATTTTTGGTAATCACAATTGGGTATGTTGGTGGCATCGAGTGAGTGGGCAGAAGCCAGAGACAATGCTAGACGTACTATAGTACAGAACAGCCTCCCACAGCAAAGAGTTATCTGGTCCAAAACGTCAATGGTACCAAAGTTAGGAAACCCTGGTCTAGACTATCTAGAGGGCAAACCCTCAATTGCACATCAGAAACTGGGACTGGCCAGAGGTCCTGGGCTGTTCCCAGGAGGACAGATGAGCCCATAAGACTTCAGGAAAGCCCCAAATCAGTCCCATCAGTCCAACAGGTATTTATCAAGCCACTATATGCTAAGCCTTGTGCCAGGGCCAGGACAGGGACAGAGCAGGATTCCCTTCCTCAGTGAGGGGCTGTCCACCCTTCCCTGAATCCAGGCTCCTTCAAGGTTTCTGGCAGAGGAGGCGGATGCAGGGAGCATTAAAGGTCTTTGCAGCAATTCTTAAGTCCATCTGTGTCTCAGGCCAGATGGTATCAGCTGCTTCCCTCATCCTCGTAGGCGATGGCAATCCCTCGTCTTCCACTCACAGCTCCTGTCACCGGTGTCTGACCCAGACGGGGCTGCAGCCCTTGCCAGCTCCGAGAACTAAGGTACAAGGCTGTAGAGAGAGGGGACTGAGGCCAAGTGGGCGGAATCTGGGGAAAGAGTTCAGCTGGGAGCAGAGACTTGGCACACTTACCTGCAGGGCTGCTCTCAGCCAACTCTAGCTGGGGCCGCAAGGTCAGGGCCAAACACCCAGGATCATCTGATGGCTTCCACACAGGTGGGGGTCGGAGTTCCCCAGTAATGAGTGACACATCTGGGGTGTCCCACAGTTCTGAGTCAGGTGGTGGGAGGGGCACGTGGAAGGGAGAACCTGGGAGGGAGAAAGAGGATCTATACTGGCCCGATTCCTGCCCCACGTGTTTCCAGCTCAGGCAGTACCCCAGCACTCACCAGGCAATAAATCCGCATAATGTGTGAGGTGGGGAGCCAGGCCTGCAGGTGGCCAGGCGGGGTTGCAGGCAGCTTCCAGCTCACATGGTGCCAACACAGGCCGGAAGAAGCCACCAGAAGGCTGTGGAGCTAAAGCACCAAGAGGGCAGGCCAACAGCACAAAGACATCCACCTCAGGGAAGTTGGCGAGCTTAGGAGGCGTGGGCCGCCCCAGGGCCAACACATAGCTACGCTTGCCTGCAGCCTGAGCCAGTTTCCGCAAGTGTGCCAGTGCCTCACGGTGTCGGGCCACACCCAGTGTCCCTGCCAACAGCCCTACCACACGGGCATCTTTGGCCCTCTCTACCAGATAGTGTCTACGTGCCCTTAGCCGCCCAGCCCGGACACCTTCATCCTGAGTCTGCCCTGTATCTGGGCAGCAGGTGAAGAAGGGCTGCCCTGGTGCCCAGCCCAAAAGCAGCCGGCTCAGGTCTGGGTCAAGGTCAAGGTCAGCACTGGCTGCAGAGCCCCCCACATAGAAGGCACCATATTCTTCCAGACACCTCCCTGGAGCCAGGGGGAAGCGGCGCCCAAAACGCTCCAGGGGCTCAGGCTCTGGACTACAGGAGCCCACTGGCAATGGAAGAGCTGGGCTGGAGACAAGCAGGTCCAGGTACCGCGGGCGCAGGAGAGTGGCCAAGGCCTCTGGAAGGAGGAGGTGGTGTTAGAGTTGGGGTCTGCCAAAGGAGGAACCCCATCATCCCCAGGAGACTGAATGTGACCCAAAAGCAAAGACTGGGATCAAGCCCGTATCAAGAGCTCTGTGGGAGTATACTGAAATGTGACTATCAAGGCACAAAGTAGCTCGCCCACCCTTCCTGCAAGCCCAAGCAAAACCCTCACCCAAGGCGTGGGCACAGGCCGGCTCACTTAGCAGCACCACAGGCGCTTTGGGGTCTGGGTTCTGGGCCTCAAAGGCCTTGGCGCAGAGCTCCAAGTGCACGGAACGTTGACCAAAGACGAAGGCCACAGGCAGTGGGCGGGCTGGAGGGCTTAAGCAGGCAGGGCCAAAATGCACAAGGGCCTGAGCTCCAGCTTGCTCAGCACCCAGTACATCCACACAGCAGCTGCAGGGGAGATACCATTAGTGAGAAGAGTTCTCATCGGGAAAACAGCTGCTGCCCTTCATGGGAAATGTGAAGGCTGAAATGTCGCCAGTGAAGTAAACGATGTTATAAATGAAGACACTGTCATTCAGGGAGCAGCTATAAGAGGGGGCATCATCATCAAGAAAAAACACAAGCCACTGGGGGCAGACACTGTCATAGAAGGGAAACACCAAGAGCCTTGGATCCTAGACCTACTCCCCAGCTCCTACCCGTCCCCAACCCTCAAGCTCAAATTCATACCTGCCATAGGCCGTGTCGCCCAGAATGAACATCTTCGACCCTGTGGTCCCCTCCAGTCGTGCAGCCACGGCCCCAGCATCTCCCAATAGCTGGTCAGGGAACTGCAAGGCCACCTGTAAGTATAAGCCATAGAGTCAGGAACAGCCTCTCCTCCACCCTCTTCAAGGAAAACCATCCAGGAGTCCCTGCCTAACCTTCAAAGCCCCTCCTCCCAGAGGAGCAACTGCCCCCGTCCACCCCCCGCCCAATCCTCACAAAACCATCCCAATATCCCGATCTTCTGGGAGACCCATTCCGAGGTAAGCCACCCCTCCCTAACCTGCGCTCACCCGCTGACACCCCAAGTCGCGGACAAATTCAGCGACTCGCTCCAGTTCGTACACGCGGTGCAGGTCCTCCGGAGGAGTGAGCTGCCCCGGGGCGCCCGCCTCTCGCTGCAGCGCTGCCTCAGCGGGGCTGCTGAACGTAGACTCCATGAGGCACCGCTTGGGTGGCGGAAAGCAGCGGGGAACTCCCTCGGTCAACTTGAGGCCCCGCGTCCTTAAAAGCAGCCCTCAATAAGTCAGAGTCATTTAATGAGAGCGGCGAATCTGGGAAGTCGGTGCGCAGCCCTCGGACCATCCCTCCACGCTTCCAAACTCGCGTTTTTCGGCTACAGCACTACACGAGGGCATGTGGGGGATTGCTTCCGGGTTTTTGAGGCGGGGCTGGCAGTAGTTTCGCCAATCTTAAACTAGCACTGCTCCCGCCTTCCAATCCTCGCCAGGCCGCCCTCAGAGAACCAATGATCTGCTCCAGAGCCCAAGTCAATTGGGAGGCACAGAGGAAGGCGCGGAGCTTTGTGGGTATTGTAGTTCTCCTGGTCCTCTTCTCCAGCGGCTGGTTTTCCTGTTCAGCCCGCCAATGGCACTCAGAAAAAGTGACTCCCCGGGTGCTTGGCTGGCTCAGTCAGAAGAGCATGTGACTCTTGATCGCAGGGTTGTGAGTTGGAGCCCCACGGGGTACAGATTAAATAAATAAACTTAGAAAAAAAAAGCGACCCCCTGAAAATACT